GGGTCCGGGCGCCAGAGTCCGGGTCCGGCGGGTTGCCGTAGTCAGCATGGTGCTGCCGAGCCGAGGTCCACTGCCTGTAGTAGAGGGACTGCTCCTCGCTGCTGATGTCCTTGTGCAGGAGCGGCCGCAGGGAGCTCACCCAGGCCACGTCGGCGTGGGGCAGCAGGGACGAGGAGGACGACGGCTTGCCGCCTTTCTGGGAGCCCAGGAGGCTGTAGGCCGCTTTGGATAATATCACTACCGGAGGCAGGGCCACGTGCAGGCCCCTGCAGCCTCTGCTAGGCTGTCCTGGCCACGGGAGGCTCCGGGGCCCCGAGGAGGATGAGGATGAAGGCTTGGAGGTGGTGCTGTTCGCCATCTGGGGACCCAGGGAATCACACTCCTGCTTCAGGGTCTCCCCTGCCACAGCCATACTGGCAGAGACCCCTTCGTCCAGCCCCACGCTGGTGGCGGGGCTCTGGAAGCTGGGCGTTAGGGACTGCTTCTGGGACTTGTCGGCCGTGCTGGAGGAGCTCACCCCATTCTCCATGAAGGAACCTGAAGAGGACAGAGAGAACCCACTTCCTATCCCTGCTGTTATTGACGCTTAGGACTTACTCCTCCCTGGCTCCAGGGGCGTCTGGGAAGGAGGCAAAGGCTGGGAAACCAGCTGAAACCCGGCTTTGCTCTGCAGGCCACAGACACTCCTCTCTGCCTCGCTCTACCCCGCCACCTCCTGCTCCCTTGCCCCAGCTTCTCATGGGTGTGGTGAATGGCAGACAGCAGCAGGAACTGGTTATTTCTTCCTGGCCTGGTCACCTAGGTAGGCCACCTTTCTTCACCAAGGGCTGTAGCTCTTGTCCCGCAGGCCTCTCTGGGCACCAGTAACTGCTCCCTCCCCTCACTTCTGCAGGCCCAGCCGTGGGCAGAGCTCCCGCGGTTCACTAGACTCCAGTACTGCACTAAGTCTTGCTCCTTTTCTTTCTTTTAAAGAGAGAGTTTTGCTATAGGGCATGTGCTCACTGCAGAAACAGAAAGAGACAGAGAGAGAGAAAACAAAAAATCACCCCCCTGGGGGGATGGCCATGCTGCTATCCCTTCTCCATTCTCCTCTGGATTTGGGGCATGCACGCACAAGCCTGTCATGACTTTCAAGCCACTGCGTCTGAACCGCAGTCAACTACGTGGAAGTCCAGCGATGTAACCATTACGCCGTCTTCTGGTGCCACGTCTTACTCCTTTTCTAAATCCTGCCCACATCTTCATCAACGGTCCCTCTACTACACACTCCTCAAATTGCCTCATTTGGAAATGCCGTCAGATTCCTTCCAGGACCCTGGCAACACAGATTCCATGTTCAAGCCTGCTGCCTCCTCCTGGGGCTGAGGGCCTCACACCTCTGGTGTGGACGAGCACCCCAGGCAGTAGCCACCTCTAAGGGCTCCCTAGCAGGGTCCCAGTGGGGCTGTCTCCACGCAAAGAGGGAGAAGGAAGGCATAATCTACTCCAAATGAAGTGTTGTTCTCCTCTTGTGTCTGCATGCAGACACCTGCCATTCAATGCTGAGGGAAGCCATTTACTCAAACATTTTGTGCCAGGATACCGAGCCACTGCGCACAAACTTAGAGCTGCGGGGCCTAGAATTTAACGGGGTTATTTTGCATTTCGCGTTTGCACAAACACCTGATTTTCTTTCAGCTGGGAAAGACTAGGGGAAATGGTGCAGGCTGGGCTTGATCAAATGCACTTATAGTTAGTGTATTGCCATGCTCTTCATTAAAGTATGCTGTGGCTCTTCAAGGTTTTCCAGGGTCTCTCCCAGGAAGCTGGGGTCTGGAGAGGAGGCCAGAGTCACCTGAGGCACCCTAAACGCCTGGGCGTTGGCGACAAATGCCTGCCTTCCACAGTCCTACCATCTCCCCACTCCGGCCTCTCACCCCGTGAAAGAAAAATGTACCAACCCGAGGTTCCTGTGACAGCACTGCTGTTGCTCTGGGGCCGCTCCAGGTCGATCAGCAGCTCATCGGAGTCATTCTCGCTCACAGTGGTTCTCTCCTGCTCTTTCCCACTGAGGTCCAGGGCGACAGTGGGTCCCCGGATGACCTCTTTTGAGACATAGCAGCACGCCAGGCCCACCTCTTGCTCCAAGGCTGTGCGAGTTAAATAGCTTGAGTCAATTAGCCGGAGGTCACAGTACTTCAAAGACCTGCACAAAAGTAATCACGCTGTGGGTGAGTCCATCTGCTGGGCGGGCAGTGTGCCCGTATGTCGCAGCCCTGGGTGTGCCCTGCAGCAGGCCACATCGTGGGGGGACCAGGTAAGCCCTAACACACCTCCGCTCTACCACCTCCTGGCTGTTATGACCTTAACGTCTCTGTTGTTAAGTGTAAAGTAGAACAGCAGTGCTGAGCTCACCAGGTCAGTGTTAAAGGATAAATGGCGCGAGACGTGCAAGGCATTTAGGGCAGTGCCCGACACACAGGACGCGTTCAACAAATGCTTTTATTGTTATTGTCATTGTTGCCCTCCCATCTAGATCCGTGAGGGAGTCGGAAACAGCAGATGAACAGAGACAGAGTATTTTGTCAAAAAACAAGACAAAACAAGACATAAAGCAACCCCCGATTTTCCTCTCTGGCTGTTTGCTGTGATACACAAGCATCCCTCAAATGTAGCTGTCTCCCATTCGCTACATTACGGTGCTCTTTGGAAGGTCGAAAGAGGGGCCAGCAGGTGGTATAGTGGTTATATCACTGGACTCCCACATGGCCGACTGCGGACCCAGTGGCTTGAACATCACACCCGTGTGTGTGCGTGTGCCCAAGATCCTGGGAAGAGCATGGAAGAGAAGGGATTGTGGTGTGGCCATGCCACCTGGGGAGTGATTTCTCACTTTCCTTCTTACTATTTTTGTCTCCCCCCCAACACACACACACACACACACACACACACACACACACACACACACGGCTGCATGTGCCCTAGAGCAAAAACCTGTTAACAACAACAAAAAAGTAGCAGGAGGTGGAAAGAGAATAAAGGAAGGCTACATTTCTTGTATCTCTGCATAAAACAATCCTTGTTACCTTCCACACAAATGACATGATTGTGCATCAGCCAAGTTTTAATCATTAGCTCAGCTGGGCAACTAATGAAAAGCAGAATTAATTATTCAACTTGTACCTGGGAAAGGTTTCTCCCAGAGGATCTTTGCCAGTTAAGATCACAATGCAAGGTAAACCTTCTAAATCTTGGTATGTCCGAGGGACCCACTCTTCTGGTTCATTTCCTCTCCAAGTCTGCAGAAAGAGACCCAATAAAAATTAAGATTCCTATTTAAATTTACATCTTTGAAAAGGTTTCTAGGTCTAAATTTTAGACACTGCTTCCAAGTGACTTCCATGAAGAGAGTTTGTGTGTGTATTCGTATTACTACTAAAAACCATATGTGGGGGCTAGCACATAGTGTAGTGGTTAAGGTACTGGACTCCCACATGGTCAGTCGTGGTTCAAGTCCTAGACCTGGCAGCCTGAAAATCATTTGAAGCATGTGTGCATGCATGCCCAAAATCCCAGGAAGAAAATGGAGGAGAAACGATTGCAGAATGGCCATCCCCTCTTGGGGAGTGAGTTCTCATTTTCCCTCTCACTGTCTCTCTAGAGGCAAGCACATGCACCCTATAACAAAAAGACAAGTTTGTATTTTCTTGTTTTAAAACAAAGAATCAGGGGCCAGGAGGTGGCATGGTGGTTAAAGGCACTGGATTCCCACATGGCCATCTGTGGTTCAAGTCCCAGATGTGGTGGCTTGCTTTCTCAATTTCCCTCTCTCTCTCTCTGGTCAAGTTAAAAAATAACAGTAACAGATGGAATTAAATAAATAATTATTTTAAAATTATTAAATAATTAAATAAATAAATAAATAAATAAATAAATAAATATTTTTAAAAGAATCATATAAAAGGTACTTCTATAATACTATGGCCTTTAGTTTTTACCTCAATAGGCTAAAATAAGAGATGATGCATTAGCCACACAGGCCAAAGAATCACAATGTGAGGCATCCCACTAGTGACATAAATCTTACAGAAATCTAAGTTAAGGTACATGGTTCCAGGCACTTAGATACACTTTCTGCACCTAATGCAACGACTCTTGGGACTAGCTGATTAGAAAAAACAAAGACAGTTTCAGTTGTAAATGACTCAGAAAATCTCAAAACTCCATTAAGACAGACATTTTCACCAAGAAAATAATAAAGTTAGCCAACCCTGATGGTTATTTTTCTTTTTCACTGTAACTTCAAAAAATAATTGACAAAGGAACCAGCAAGTGACATGGTGCTTAAGGTGCTGGATTCCCACATGGCCAACCATGGTTCAAGGCCCAGACCTGGCAGTTTGCTTTCTCACTTTTCCTTTCTCTCTGTCTCTCTCTGATCAAAATTAAAATAATAATAATAATAACAACAACAAAACAAATAAAATAAAATAAATAATTCTTTAAAAAATTAATTGACAAGTAATTATTGGCAGATAGCCTCCAAAACTCTAAGGCAAAAATATAACCAGATTTGTATCAAGAAGAAAAGAAAAAAATTGCCCTTACTCTTGAGAGTAATGCAGTTTGCTCTCATTCCCTAAATTGCAGGTGCTCTTTGGAAAGTTGAAAGAGAGAATAAAGGATGATTGTCATTTATTTCACAAAGAATATGTTAAGTGCAATTTCTCATGTGTATCAACACATACGTATATGTATACCTATGTATACCTTAATAAATAGAACATTGATTCTGAAAACAAATGATATATGAATAAAATGAAAAATATCCCACCAACATGAAAGATGTTCAAAAATAAAAAGGTCCTATAGATTTTTCTATTATAAAACAGAAAGAAAATAGGCTAGTAGTGTCTATTACTTTTTATTAAATGCATAACATCTAACTATGCTTTATATCAGCTTTGTAGCAGAAGTTAGAAGAAATGAGCTGATGTTTCCAATAATGCTTTGGGAACAAGGTCTAAGAAGTGCGGTGGCAAGTTATACATGTAATTTTATTTATTTATTTTAATCTGACCAGAGAAGGACAGAGTGAGTGAGAGTCAGAGAGAGGAAAAGTGAGAAAGCAAGTCACCAGGTCCAGGACTTGAACCGTGATTGGCCATGTGGGAGTCCAGCGCCCTTCACCACCACACCACCTGCTGGCCCCATGTAATTTTATTTTAAAACAGACTGGTTTCTGCCAGACAGATGGCATGGAGGTTAAGGTGACTAGGTCACACATGATCAACCATGTAGTTTGAGTCCTGGACCCAAGACATGTGCATATGTGCACAAACTCCTGAGAGAAGAATGGAGAAGGGATTGTGGCATGGCCATGCCACCTGTGAGGTGCTTTCTCACACAAACTCTCTGTCTCCCCAGTGAACACATGTGCCCTATAGAACATCTAAAATAATGAAACAACCCAAAAAAACCCATGCTGGTATTGCCTTTCCTGAGCACAAAGGGGATTGAAAAGAAACCCACTAAGCAAGAAATAATATGTTAGAGGGGCCAGCAGGTGGCATGGTGGTTAAGACACTGGACTCCTACATGGCCAATTGTGATTTGAGTCCTGTACCTGGTGGCTTGCTTTCTTGCTTTCCCTCCCTCTGATGAGTGCGTGTGCCCTATAGCAAATCAAATAATAATAATTATAAATAAAATTAAATAAACAATTCTTTATTAAAAAAAGAAATAATATGTTAGAGTTTGAGTAATGATTTGTTGATGTCTAATAAAGGGCTGATGAAGAGAGTCTTCAGACATAAATAAACCCACAATTGCTTACACAAAATTTCTCTAATTTGTAAAACTTGGAAGAACTTTAACTATTATGCTTTCACTTGTTGCCCATTTATTATATATTTGCAAAACAAGGGTAAATTGGCAGATGTATGTAGCTGTTTACAAGTTTGAGAGACTTCCCATGTCTTAGAAAATCAATCTGTCAAAAGATTTTTTTAAATACTAGAAGAAATAGTCCCTACAAAAATTCAGTTTTCTATACCATTTCATGTCAAAGGGAACCATAACATTACTTGATTTAAACCAAATGATTCTGGAGTGGGAATTGTTTTACCTATGGCCTTCACATTGGACCCATAATATCTCTGACACTGGGATTCTCCCTGAATATCTTTTTTCTCTCTCCAAACCATCCACAGGGCATGGTTCTACCACGAATATTGAGGTTGGATTATACTAATGTGATGAAAGATGTAATGTTTTATTATGTGAGGAGGTTTACTTTCAGAAAATTATTAAATTTCACTTTTTTTTTTGAGAGGTTTTTCGCTATAGGGCGTGTGCACTCGCCAGACAGACAGAGAGAGACAGAGAGACAGAAAGCGAGAAATCACCCCCCAGGGGGAATGGTCACGCCGCAATCCCTTCTCCTCTGTTCTCCTCTCAGGATCTTGGGCACGCACGCACATGAGCCCGGCGTGAAATTTAAGCCACTGGGTCCAGGACGCGAACCGCGGTCGTCTACATGGGAGTCCAGTGACATAACCATTACGCTAACTGCTGGTTCCCTTAAATTTCACTTTTACTTTTGATAAATCAGAGCTAGCCAAACCCACTCTCAAAAGCCTTCCCATCACACTGCTACTTCTGCTGAACAATGGCTGCAGCTCTCCCACAGATCGGCCATCTTTTCAGAAGCCTTTATGTCGGGAGCACTTAAGACAACACAAAACACTGGATGAGCCTTGAGTTCAGAGGGCTCAAGCCAAGGAAACAAGGAAATCTAATGAAAGTTTTCTTCAAACTGTCTCAAGCCTTCTGTCTCAAGGAGTTGTACTGTAGGAAGGGTTCCGGGAGTGTTGTTATTCATTCTAGGAGTTCTGTTGTGATGTGATCTCTGGCTGTAACTTGAAATTGTGAACACACACTTATGTCTCTATATCAAATATAAATGTTAGAACTTCTACTAATGATACGAGTTTCTACTTTTGGACAATTGATTTGTTCCAATTACTTATGAGGCTAATATGAGATATTTTGTTTACAGGTTGGATTATGCAATTTACATTAACTACTAAAAGATAATCAGAACTTTACATTTGCAAGATTTATGAACACTGAATAGCCATTCTAAAGAAGAGCTTTTAGAAATCATATGGCCCCACACTCATTTTGTTCTCTAACTGCAGCCCAGGTTGAAAAATGCAAGTCCCCCAAGACTATGTGCTTTTTCTCCATTAAATTTGTGCTGAACTTGATTCTTCATACTCCATTTAGCTCAGTCTTTGGTGTGCGGGGTGCAGATATCACACCAGTCTAGCTGAGAACATATTGTACCTAGCTCAGTTCCACACCTGTACGTATGTGGATATTTGATTAAATGCTTTCTAACGGCAAGGACACACTGGATTATAGAACTCCCCCAAAAAACCCTGAACCAGACATAAGGTAGGGAGCTGGGTTAGTTGTTTTAGGATTCGGCTTTCCTCCCATCCCACACCTGACAGGATGGGTAGGGGACAGGCATTCAGTCACTGGCCGTGCAAGGGGAGCAGAGAGGCTTGGTCATGCACTAAATCCCTCTGCAGGATGCCTGGCTAAGTCTCAGTCCAGCCAAAGCCTTGGGGCTGAAGGTCAAAGCAAGTACAAAGAAACAACAAGTTGTTGAGAAATCCACATGCAAGAGGGCTAAAAACAGTTCTCTATGAGTACTGAAGATGAAACAATACTTTACCAACTCTAGAAATGAGCTGACAGGCTGGATGGACAGAAAAGAATTAGTGAGTTGAGAATACGTAAAGAGGAACCCCACAGAGGTCTGAGAGAACAACTTACCTTTGTTTCTGAGAAAACAGATGGCCATGGGCTAGATGCATCTTGAACAAGGTCAATAAACATGGGGTCAAATTGGGTCATCTCATTTTTTCACCTGCAGTTGGAGAGCATGGAAGACCAACTGCATGCACATGCTAAAAAGGTGGCTTGACAGAATCTTTACAAACTGGTTCCAATTAAGAAAGTATGTCCCTCAGTTTAACCTTAACATTGTCTTGGAGATCAAATTCACACATGTGCTAAAACCTATTAAACTCAGGCCTGAGAGTTATGTATGTAGGATTTCTAGAAAACAGAAACTAATGGCATTTGGGAGGAGAAATGTGTGTCCGTGGCTTACCTTTAATCGCGCCACGAAGTGAGTTGCAACACTGAGTTCAGAGGCCGGGTTCCCGAGGATGATCTCAAAGCGATACTGCAGACCCAACTTGTCACGCACCTCCTGCAGCCGCTCCTTGGCTAACATGGCCAGCTGCACTGAGGGCACCCTGATAATAAGCATGTGTCCCCTCCCACTTTTGTTTTTTCCTGGGGAGCTGATGAGGTCCTCCATAATGCTGAGCGTTTCCGGTGTGCTATGGTCTCGGAGAGCCGCCATGGTGGTAAGAGCCATCAGAGCCTCAGAGTACTGCTGGATGAGCAGGTAGCAGCGGACGACCATGCTGTGCAGCCGGGGGTACCTTCAAGGGGACAAAGGGAATGTGCACTGAGGCAGCAGGACCAGCTGGGACAGCGAGGCCTGTGCATTAAGAACATAGAGCAAGCATGGAGGGGAGGGGTTACGGAGCAGGGGTGGGGCGTTAGCTCTGGCATGATCTTGGATCCTGCATCACTAGAAGGAAAAGTAGTGCTTCCAGAGCATGTGAGTCAGAATCTGCTGGGATAGGTACAGCAATCAGAGAGGTTTAGGGAAGGACTGGTGACTGCTTCTCAAAGTGTGGTCCACAGACCACCAATAGCACCCAGCAGCAGCTGCACCAGCACCTGGAGCTTGTTAAAAAGTCAACTCTCTCTACCCTAGACTTGCGAATCAGAATGCAGCTTGACAAGACCCCAGGTGACCTGTATGCGCATTAACTTTTGAGATGCACCTGGTCCAGCCAGGTTAGTTGCTGATGAAGGCATGATGGGTAAGCACTGTCCTATCTCTTGCTGGTGACACTGGGATAGAACGGCGGGGTGATTAGTTTAGTTCTCTGATACTCTGATTACAGTAAAGGAAATGAGACATGAATGTAATGCCTGTGGAGTATCAGACATAAAAAGGTAATTATTTTTACTAATTTGTGATCAGCCCCACAAATAGCAGTGACTGTCCTCCCATACATGGTCCTTTGGAGTTGAATGGAGAAATAGCACCCCCTAGTGGTGTAGCCTATGATCACCTGTGACTGCTCAGATAAGGGAGCTGAGCAAATCTGACCCTAGCACGTAACAACACCCCTTGGAACCACTCTCACCCCTACCTGGATTGCCAGATGAGAGGATTGCTTTGTTAAAATCAGCATTGTTTGCAGAGCAGGTGGGAAAGGAATCTGTCATTTAAATGCTATCCTCAGAAAGCCAGGCTGCTGACAACAAGAGTAGAAATGAGCAAAGAGGACCCACTGCAGGGATGAAGAAGTGCTAGTCATGAAAGTAGGTGCTGGCAAAGCAAGGCCCCTGGTCCCAGGCTGGCTGAGGCTCTCGTGGACGCTGGAAAAATGCTCTTTCTGGTTGCCGGCCAGTAGCACATGCAGCTGACCAGCAGCTGTGTAGGCTAATGGGGGATTTCAGTTTGTTCCACCAGCCTTACACAGAAAAGTCCAGGGTCAAGTCCCCATTAGGGTCATCAAGTGAATAATGTGGTTTTTGAAGTACTTTAGAGCTGGAAAGGACCACAGTTGCCTTGTATTCTACGCACACTGCTTTTTCACAGAAGGAAAATGAGTTAAAGGGCCACGAGAGTTCAGTCACTTCACCTGGACCACATGATGGTCAGAGACAGAGCAGGCTCTAGTTTTTATCCAGGTCCCAGACAATGTCTTCGCACATCACAAGGATTTAAGGTCGGGGAAAAGTGAAGGAATCTCTCAGCCCTGGGCCAGGAGGCCAGGTGTCCAACAACCCATAGCTGTTCTTCACCTTGGAAGAAGTCAGCATAGGTGATCTATGTTTAAAACTTACATGTCGGGACCAGCAGTTAGCGTAATGGCTATGTCGCTGGACTCCCATGTAGTCGACTGCAGTTCGTGTCCTGGACCCGGTGGCTTAAAACTCACGCCAGGTGCGTGTGCGTGCATGCCCAAGATTCTGAGAGGAGAACGGAGGAGGAGGGATTGCGGCGTGGCCATCCCCCTTGGGGGGTGATTTCTCGCTTTCTGTCTCTCTGTCTCTCTCTGTCTGTCTGGCGAGCGCACACGCTCTATAGCAAAAACCTCTCTCAAAAAACAAAACAAAACAAAGGCTGGAAAAACTTACATGTCTTTTTCTGGGTCATGTAGAAAACCAAAATTAGGGACCAGCAGTTGATGTACTGGCTATGTCGCTGGACTCTCATGTAGTCAACTGCAGTTCGAGTCCTGGACCTGGTGGCTTAAACTCATACAGGCACGTGTGCTTGTGTGCTCAAGATCCTGAGAGGAGAATGGAGGAGAAGGGATTGTGGCGTGGTCACCCCCCCGGGGGGTGATTCCTCGCTTTCTGTCTGTCTCTCTGTCTTCCTGATGAGTTCATGCACTCTATAGCAAAAACCTCTCCAATAAATAAATAAATAAATAAATAAATAGAAAGGAAAAAAACCAAAATTAGAATAAATGATAAGTTTGATATATAGGCATTGAAATTTCACACTCTTAAAGACCTATGAAGTTAGATGTAAAAACTTCTCCAAGCTGTTAAGTTTGCATTACAGTGTGAGTGCAGTTTTATAAGTATTAAGAATCTGATAGAAGTGAATGAGACCACCCTTTAAAATACAAGTTATAAACCCCTGAAAGATGGTACTGGAAAGAGATGGTACAGCAAATTAGAGCGTTTAGGGACGGTACTGCTGTCCAAGCTGGCAGATGGAATGGGTGGGCGGGAAGCCTGGAAAGGGGAGTCTCATGGGATGAATTTGGGAATTTGAGATCGCATGTGCTGTGAAAGGATTAATGCCACAGTGTCAGTTAAAACTTCAAACCCAACAGCTGTGGGAATAGCAAATCCTACTTTGAGCCTGTTCCCTCTCCTGACACAGCATTATAACTTGCTGCAGCGGATGCATCCACCTGTCTTCATTTTTATTTCTCTTTCTTTTTCTTTAGCAAAATTTCAAGTTAAATAAATCAACTGGAGTTGGTTTTAAGAGCTAGAGTCATTAAAAATAGGGATCTGCCTCATGAAACAGTCTAGTTGCTGCATCATTGGCTGATCATAGACTATCGTGACCAAGGACAGGCAGGACTTGTAACAGGAGAGGTAAATTATTTTTTTAAAAAATAATTATTTATTTAATTTTATTTATTCATTCATTTATTTTAATTTGACCAGACAGAGATACAGAGAGAGAGAGAGAGAGAGGGAAAGTGAGAAAGCAAGCCACCAGGTTCAGTATTCGAACCACAGATGGCCATGTGGGAATGTCCAGCGCCTTAACCACCACACCACCTGCTGGTCTCAGGAGAGGTAAATTCTAATGTCTCTACCCACTCTTCGAGAGGTCTAGGGACCAGCAGTTGGCGCAATGGCTATGTTGCTGGACTCCCATGTAGTCATCGGCGGTTCGCGTCTCGGACCCGGTGGCTTAAACTCATGCTGGGCGCGTGTGCATGCAGGCCCAAGATTCCAAGAGGAGAATGGAGGAGAAGGGATTGCAAAACATCCTCCCTGGGGGGTGATTTCTCACTTTCTGTCTCTCTGTCTCTCTCTGTCTTTCTGGCGAGCACATGTGCTCTATAGCAAAAACTCTCCCAAGAAAGAAAAAAAAGAGGGAGAGGTCTATTATTAAAGGCCACAGGGAAAAAGCAAACAAACAAACAAAATAACAAAAACTCTTTCAAAAATTTGACCTGGAACTGGGGAGTAAAAGAAGGCAGAGAGGGGCCAGGCAGAGAGGGGCCACAGGAGACTTGGTAGTTAGGGGCATTGGATTCCCACATGGCCGACTGTGGTTCAAGTCCTGGACCTGGTCACTTGCTTTCTGGGGAGTGAAAGAAGGCAGAGAGGGGCCAGGCAAGAGAGGGGCCACAGGAGACGTGGTAGTTAGGGGCATTGGATTCCTACATGGCCAACTGTGGTTCAAGTCCTGGACCTGGTCACTTGCTTTCTCACTTTACCTCTCTCTCTCTCTGTCTCTGGTCAAATTAAAAAATAATGACAAATAAAATTAAATAAAGAAATAATTCTTTAAAAATAAAGAGAGAGAGAAAAAACAGGAGGCTTATGACCCTTAATCCTATGGTCAGAGACTAGAAGAGCCTCCCTAAGAACTGACCTCACTTAAATGACCTGACTCTTCCTTAATTTTCTCCAGCCTATATTCCAAATCCTAGTAAAGCGTAGTTTTTACTGAGTCATCTGAGTGGAAAATGTAAACATCTGAGCTGTAGAGTAGGGGAGACCAGACCTCAGAGGAGTGATCTATAATAAGCAAATCCCTTTCTGCCTTAAAACAAAACAAAACAAAACAAAACAAAACAAAACAAACTTCTTCAGAGAGAGAGAGAGAGCAAGCAAACTGCAATCTACCCACAGCCTTCAGCCACTCCCAGGCCACAGGCAAGCATGTGCCAGGCATGCATACTCGGGGGGCTCTCCAGACACAAACCCAGAAACTTCTCATGTGGAATTCCTCCCAGAATGCTGCACTTTACCTGCCCTACCATCTTGGCCCCTCTCTGCACTTTTGATCAACCCTGATGGTAGCAATACAATATGATTGGGGAACAATTTCAAGCATGAAAACTGCTGCTACATCTCACTCTGGGTTACTGTTTTTCTTTCCTTTAAAAATTTCTATTTTTTTAGTGATCAAAAAAAGAGAGAGAGAGCACCCCCCCCCAATACTCTGAGGTCTACTCATAGCCTCAGCCAATTCCAGCATGGGCAAGTGCAAGCTCGGCATACTCAGGGAGGTCTCTGGACTTGAACCCGGTACCTTTCCATGTGCGACTGCCTTGCAGAGCATGGCATTTTATTGCTGCACCACCATCTGGACGCTTTATTTTTCTTTATTGGTCCTGGATGATCATATGAACCCGATAGGAGTAAAAGTGCGTCTCGGATGTGCGTTCACCAGAGAGAGAGAGAGACAGAGAGAGAGAGAGAGAGAGAGAATCACAGAAGAGAGACAGTCACACTGCAATCCCTTCTCCATTTTCCCTTTCAGCATTTTGGGCATGCATGCACACACACCCAGTATGTGTGTGTTTGTTTTTAGAGGTTTTTGCCTCAGGGCATGTATGCTCACCAGAGAGAAAGACAGAGACAGTGAGAGGGAAAGTGAGAAATCACCCCCCAAAGGGGATGGTCACACCACAATCCCTTCTCCTCCATTCTCCTTCTGGGATCTTGGGCACACATGCACATGGACCTGGTATGAGTTTTAAGCCACTGAGTTTGGGACTCGAACCATGATCGCCATGTAGGAGTCCAGTGACATAGTCACTGTGCCATCTACTGGCCCACCCAGTCACTGTACCATCTACTGGCCCACCCAGTCACTGTGCCATCTACTGGCCCACCCAGTCACTGTGCCATCTACTGGCCTACCCAGTGTGTTTTTAAGCCCCCTGAGAACCTAGGACTCAAATTATTCAGTTGGCCTGTTGTGGCCTACCCAGTCTGTTTTTAAGCCCCCTGAGAACCTAGGACTCAAATTATTCAGTTGGCCATGTGAGATCCAGTCACTTTAGTCACTGCACCACTGCTGGTCCAAAAGGTTGTGTGTGTGTACATAATTTTGTCAGAAGTTGTGTGTCTTCACTAGAAAGAGACAAAGAGGGAAAGTGAGAAAGCACCCCTGTGGGAAATGGTCATACTGTACTTCCTCCTCCCTTTCTCTCTCCTGTAGGGATTTTGGGCGCATATACGCACGCGTGCGTGTGTGCACACACATACACACACACATACACACACACACATGCTCCTGGCATGTCTCTCAAGCCAGTGGATCTGGGACTTGAACTGCAGTTTGCTATGTGGAATTCAGTCACCTTAACCACCATGCCACAGGCTAGCCGAGAAAGTTCTTTATTCAAATAGCTTTTGCATGTCATCTGCAAGGGCTCCCTCTAACTCTTGTGCCAATGACACAAAAGGCTGCTTTAACTCTCAAGTATGGGTAGAGGAAAGGGTGGGTGCCCTTGTTTACCTCTCCAAGAGCGTGTTGACCATTTTTTCAAACGTTTCATCACATCTCAGGAGTGGGCTTGTGATCCCCCACTGCAAAGACTTGCTGTACTCATTCAGGCCGAAGTACAGTTTTTCCTCGCAGCCAGTGTCCTCCTGATTTCAAAATACAGAGCGGGAAAAAAAAAAATCAGTGAGGACAGGGTACGGTGGGTCTAGTTTTCTAGGTGGCAGTGGGGACATTTCTGTAAGAGGTCATTTTCTGGAAGGTAAGAACGACACTGGTTATTCATGTATTTATTTAAAGTTTTTGCCATAGAGCACATGCACTTGCTGGAGGGACAGTGAGAGGGAAAGTGAGAAATCACCTCCCAGTGGGATGGCTACACCGTAATCCCTTCTTCATTCTCCTTGTGGATTCTGGGCACATACACAGATGTGTCCAGTGTGATTTTCAAGCTGCCGGGTCTAGGACCTGAACCTCGGATGGCCATGTGGGAGTCCAGCCCTTTAACCACCACACCATCTGTTGGCCTCAAAACAACTGGGTTTTTATGTAACCTGATGCCAGCTCTGCAGGCCTCTCTGAAACACTAATTCAAATTTCCTTTCACTTCAGATGACCTGAATGCGGGCTCAGCGTAATGCTGACATGCTTCCTTCAGGTGGACCATGACTATGTAGATGATTTATTTCCTTTTTCCTTTTGATATACGTCAGGTCTGATAGCTTCAGTCCCATTCCTCCTTGCTGAAAGCAGCTCTCTCTACAGACACACCAGCTTCCCACAGAACTCTCTGGAGGTTGGTGAACTCCACAACTTCTCTCCTTCTCTCCGTTTTTTTTTTTTTTTTTCTAACATCATTTAATGATGGTAACTCATAAAAGCTTATCTTTTTACAAACAGAATTTATTTTTAAAATGGCATGTACCTTTTCTGCCTGCTTAATCAGAATACACAGTATTTAATCTATCCCCTTCTTGATGACTCAGTCATCACTATGAAAAGGAGTAACTATTTTGGGATGTGACACAAGAGTGTCCTCAGAGGATCCTGAGATGTGTGACAGGCTGTTGGTCCTTCAAGTAAGAAGCCCCAGAATAGTAAATAAGCTTTTTGCATTTGTAGATCTGTTTTTTGTTTGTTTATAGTTTTCTTTTCTCTTTTTTACATTAATTTCTTATAGTAATTTCTTTTTGGTATTACGTTGCCTGTGTGTTTGAGTCTTATTTTTATTAATGATTATATACTGACATTTGCATTCAAACACTCATTTAGAAAGGAAACAGGGCAGCTTTAAAAAGTATAGTAAGAGAGGCCCCGCTGCACAGCGTGCACTGTGGAGAGGCTGCGCTCCCCAGACTGGAGCCATACAGGAGGCCCAGGTTCTATTCCCAGCCCACTCTAGAAGCCAGCTGTGGTGATGCGTGTCTGTAGTTCTAGCTATTTGGGATGTTAAGGCACGAGGCTCACAACCGGCAGTCCCTGTCTTAAAACAAAACAAAACAAACAAGCAAGCAAAAAAGAAAAAGAAAATAAGATAAAAATAAATTAGGCAGTCAGAGCAAGAAAAAACAAAGATAGAGAAATAAGATTGGGCCAGAGATAAAATTAGTACTCCTAAAAATGCATGCCCGAAGTTTCTGCACACATTGTTAGAAACACGCTAGGAATTCGATTTTGAGCTCTTCAGTGACCCATCAAAGGGATAAGCAGTTGTGCAATTGATAAGGTCCGTAGATGAAAATAATGCACAATGCAATCATCAGCTTTTCATTTGTTTGAGGCCTCCAAAACCAGTTAACCCTGCTCATTGGAAAGGTCTTGAGAGTCAATAGGCTCTCCGGGCACACCAGCTCACATTCTTCTATAATAGATGCCAGAGACTGAGAGTGTAGACCCAATGACAGCTGTTTCAGCAGCTTTTGCTTGTTTCCTTCTGAGTTGAGCTGTTTTCTAGATAGCTGTGTTAAGTAAGTCATTCCAAAAAGAAAAACAGAAAGGCATGGATCCAAATTGCCCCTTCATCTGGACTGCAGGCACAGTCATTGGGAACACTTTCTCTCGTGCACACTTGGTCTCTGTGTTTCCTTCTCATCCTCAGTCCATTTTGAAATATATCAAATCCTTATTTTTTTTTTTCAATTTGCATGTGTGCCTGCAGAGAGAGAGAGAGAAAGAAAGACAAAGAGGAAGAAAGCATCCCCCAGGGGGATAACCATGTTGCAATCCCTTCTCCCGCATTGTCTTCTTGGGATTTGGGGCATGCATGCAATATGAACCTGAGGTGATTTCAAGCCACCAGGTCCAGGACTCAAATTGCATAGTCAACTATGTGGGACCTGGCTGCCTTCACCACCACATCACCTGGCTGGCCCCAAAATACCAAATCCCGGTGGGACCAGCCGTTGGTGTAATGGCTATGATGCTGGAGTCCCCAATAGCCGC